TAACCTTAACCACTCTAAATTATGAAGAAGCCATCAAAATATTGAAGAAGCGGTTTGGTAACAAACAGCTTGCAATCAATAAACACATGGATATTCTGTTAAATCTAGAGCCAGTTACTTCTCCACATAACTTAAAGGGACTGAGAACACTTTATGACACTGTAGAATCTCATATCAGAGCTTTGAAATCACTTGGGGTACAGGCAGAAACATATGGCAATCTATTATGCTCAATGTTACTCAATAAGTTACCTCAGCAATTGTGCATAATAGTGAGTCGAGAAGTACAAGGAGATGTTTGGGAATTGGGACACTTGCTTGAGTTGATTGAGAAGGAGCTAGAGGCCCGAGAAAGAGCAACTGCAAATACCAACAGGGAGACTTGGCCCCATTACCAAACAAAGAAATTTTCCAAACCACAGCCCTCAATTTCAACCTTGCAGACAGGGGGTACATCACCGACATGCACCTACTGTCAGCAGTCACATACCTCAAATAGTTGCACCAATGTCTCTAACATCACAGCACGAATTGACATTATAAAGCGAAGTGGACGGTGTTTTCTCTGCTTGAGAAAAAATCATTTAAGTCGTGATTGCAACTCTAAGTCAAGATGTCATAAATGCAATGGTAAACACCACATAAGTATATGCACCAAGAATAGCAGTCATAACCATGCCCAGAAGACCCCATCCGATACAGAGCTTAAGCAACAACAGCATGAACAAACCTCTGAGAGCAAAATCTCAAGCAACAAACCCAGTAGATCAAATCAATCAGGGAATAGTGGCACAAAATCATTGTTTACAAGTACCAAGACCCCAATACTTCTTCAAACTGCAAAGGCAACAATCCTTCCTGTGAGTAGAAATGGTAAGAGTGGGAACGTGAGAGTTATCCTAGATGGCGGAAGCCAGAGGTCCTACATCACCAGTCGGACACAAGATTTACTAAGCCTACCCACTGAGCGAACTGAAACAATGTCAATAAAAACTTTCGGTTCTGGAGAAGAAAATCTAACCACCTGTGATTCAGTCAATTTTATTCTAGAAAGTCACACCGATAAGGTACAGTTGTCCTTGTCAGCCTTTGTTGTACCCACCATATGTGAACCACTGCAATACCAACTTGTCTCACAATCCCGCCACAATTACCCTCACTTACACGACCTAGTATTAGCTGATGATTCAATGGGAGAACTTGACTCGGAAGTGGACATACTTATCGGTTGTGATCAGTATTGGGACATAGTGACAGGAGAGATTCGAAAGGGAACAAATGGTCCGACAGCTATCAACACCAACCTTGGATGGGTCCTGTCCGGACCAGTCGAGAACCATTCACAACAGAGATTGGAAGCATCTGTAAACATGTCATCCACTCATGTTTTGCAGCTTGAAACCCCACCATCCCAACCAATGCACCACGAAGATGACCAACAACTGAAACAATTCTGGGATTTGGAGTCACTCGGTATATCAAAGGAAGAGAAGTCGGTTGTTGAAGAATTCACAAGTACCATAGGTTTCAAGGCGGGAAGATATCACGTTGAGTTGCCATGGAAAGAGCACCATCCTTTACTGCCTGACAACTATGAAATGAGTCGTAAACGACTGTGGAGTCTACTCGAGCGCTTGAAACGTGATCCCGAAGTTTTAAAGGAGTATGATGCAGTAATAAAGGATCAACTTACCAAGGGCGTTGTCGAGATTGTTGAGAAAGAAGATATTGGAGAGCTCGGAAAAGTTCACTATATTCCTCATCACGCTGTGATCAGGCGAGATAAAGAGACAACCAAGCTAAGAATTGTGTATGATTCATCCGCCAAAACATCTGGTCCGTCCTTGAATGAATGCCTCTATACTGGGCCCGCAATGACCCATAACATCATGGACATTATTCTTCGTTTTCGAAGCCACAAAGTAGCACTAGCGGGTGATATAGAGAAGGCTTTCTTGATGATAGCAGTTTCAGAAGCTGATCGTAATGTTCTACGGTTTCTTTGGTTCGATGATGTTTGGAGTGACCAACCTAAGATTATTGTCTTGAGATTTACGCGTGTAGTATTCGGAGTATCATCCAGCCCGTTCTTACTGAATGCGACTATCAGTCACCATATCGAACAGTACCGCGCTCAAGATCCTGCCTTTGTCGAAGCCTTCATGCGAGCTGTTTATGTAGATGATCTAAACTCGGGTGGGGATGATGACAAATCTGCCTACACTCTTTACAAGAAATCAAAGCTTAGATTGGCAGAAGGGGGATTTAACCTTCGGAAGTTTGTTACCAACTCGCCCGAACTGTTGACGAAGATCAAAAGTGAAGAGAACCCTCTTCCTAGAACTAATTTGAAGCCTAACCCTCAAATGGACGAACCGCCAAACGATTGCGTAAATGAAGATGAAACGTACTCGAAGATTACGCTAGGAACATCCAATGAATCCTCTAATGAAGAGCACAAGGTTCTCGGGGTAGCGTGGAATTTTGTTGAAGATGATCTTGTGTTTGATCTCAGTCATGTGACCGAATTGGCATCCGAGTGTTCCCCAACAAAGCGAAATATCGTCCGTCTTTCTGCAAAGTTCTATGATCCGATTGGCTTCATGTCGCCAATAACAGTTCAATTCCAAGAACTGTGCGGAGAAAAGTTGAATTGGGACGATGAAGTACCCCATGATCTTAAAGTAAAATGGGACAATCTAGTTAATGAACTAAAACAAATGAATCGCATTCGGCTTTCTCGATGCTATTTTCGAGAGGTCGACGACCCAGTTATCTCCTGCATTGTCCATGGATTTGGTGATGCCTCGAAGGCGGCGTACGCCGCAGTAACCTACCTGGTCATGATTACCACAATTGGCATCAGAGTAAAGTTCTTAGCAGCGAAGACACGAGTCGCACCAATCGAGAGACAAACAATTCCGAGACTAGAACTTCTATCATGTTTGATCCTTGCAAGGTTAGTGAAGAATGTTCAAACGGCATTACGAGATGAAATTAAGTTGGATGATCCAGTCTGTTGGAGCGATTTGAAAGTGGCACTTTTCTGGATCACAAATGGCAATAAGGAGTGGAAACAATTCGTTGAAAATAGAGTGAGTGAAATCCGGAGCCTCTTACCCACAGCCACCTGGCGTCATTGTCCCGGTCGAGATAATCCTGCCGATATTCCATCCAGAGGAATAAAACCGACGGAGCTTACAAGTAATGAGCTGTGGAGCTGTGGCCCTGAGTGGCTAACCGATGTTGAAACACACTCTTGTCAAGATGAGAAGGAAATTACGCCTCCGAAGGAATGTCTCGTTGAAGTTCGATCCACCAAGTCGAGAACTGGTAACCTAATTGTGAACACCACACCCCAAACCCTTAGCAATATCATCAATATCGAGAACTTTGGAACCCTCGACAGACTGGTGCGAGTGACGGCTTATGTCTTACGTTTGTGAAGATATTGAAGGCGAAGACCAGAAAGAGTGACATAGACGTAGAGCCCAGTTTAACAGTGAATGAGATTCGTGAAAGTAGAGAATTGTGGATCAAAGAAATGCAAAGAAAATTGCCCGAGAAGAACCAGTTTGAACAGTGGAAGGCAGAGTTTGGGCTTTACACTGACGAGCAAGACATCTGGAGGTGCAAAGGTAGACTGGAAAAGGCGAACCTACCCCACTCAGCAAAGCATCCAATTCTAGTTGACAAAGAGCATTATTTCGCATCATTGATCGTTTACGACAGCCACAGAAGAGTGATGCATAATGGAGTCAAAGAGACGTTGACTGATATAAGATCGCAGTACTGGATCGTCCGTGGGAGACAGTTTGTGCGAAAGTTGATCGGGAGGTGTTCTATTTGTCGGAGATTCGAAGGCAAACCCTATCAAGCTCCACCACCACCTCCCCTACCCGAATTTCGAATACGAGAAACACCACCTTTCACAGCAACAGGAATTGATTTCCTTGGTCCGCTCTATGTTCGAACACACGAGAAGAGCGAAAAGGTGTGGGTATGCCTTTACACATGTTGTGTAACGAGAGCAGTGCATTTGGACATTGTACCAACCCTGACAAAAGAAGGATTTATTCGAAGTTTTCGGAGATTTACCGCGAGACGCGGTGTTCCGTCAACGATTGTGTCGGACAACGCCGGGACGTTTAAGGCGGCATCGCGAGAGATCAAAACGATGTTGAGAGATCCAGAGATAAGGCGATTCTTCGTCGGCATGAACATCACCTGGTCGTTCAATTTACCCAAGGCACCCTGGTGGGGTGGAATTTTTGAAAGACTTGTCAAATCCACTAAGAGGTGTTTAAAGAAGACTGTTGGAGGAGCTCAATTAACTTACGAAGAGCTCCTGACGGTGGTCGCTGAAGTGGAGATGATATTGAATTCCCGTCCAATATCATATGTTTCTACCGAAGATCTACAAGAACCACTCACTCCGTCACATTTGTTAACGGGACGAAGATTACTGAGTATGCCAGAGCAGGACATTGGCAATGACATATTAGATCCCGAATTCTCGTTAAACGATAAGGACTTAAGTCGAAGAATGAAGCACTTGAGCACACTAATGAATCATTTCTGGACCCGTTGGCGTGACGAATATTTAATGGAACTGCGCAATTCACACCGCGGTAAGAACGACAACGGAAAGGGAACTATCCGTGCAGGGGATATAGTTGTGGTTCACGACGAGTCGCAACCTCGAGCATGTTGGAGATTGGGCAAAGTCGAAAGGTTGATCAACGGAGAGGACGGAAACGTGCGGGGAGCGATCGTTATAATCAGTCCAAAGGGGAAACGGCCGACGACTTTGAAAAGATCGGTACGGTTACTTTACCCACTAGAGGTAAGGTCCGACTCGGAAGCTGAAGAAAATCGGTACGGAAAGAACGAACTTGACGAAGCGATCGGAAATGAAATGAACCAAGTCGAAGTAAAGAGACCAAGACGTGAAGCGGCGAAGCGGGGAGAAGAACGGCGAAGGAAATGGATTGAGGAACTGAATGACAGCTAAGTAGCTAGTGTAGAGATATTGCGATAGTAGAAAGACTACTTGCATTGACAACGTTGATAATTCAAATTTGTAGACTACGTAATTGTAGTTTAGTTGTTTCACTGTTTGTTGACCAGTAGTTGCATGCACTGGTCAACGGGGGGAGTGTCAGAGATTGCGTAATATTCTATGACGTTTATTTTGTGAACACATGGAATACTAATGAGACGAGCGTAGAGTTTTCATATGGCAGCGTTTTTGTAATAAAGTTTGTGTTATTTATATTTTAATGAGTCTGAACCACGCATGAGTTGAGCCTTGAACCTTGGAGAAAGGAGTCCTTTGAGAGTTTTAATCTAAATATTTTACATGTACACAATAAATATTTTTTATCCAACATGATCAAATATTTGAGATCAAGTTTCTGCCACTTGAGGTGTTTTAATTTTATACACATATACATGAATATGTATGCAGTATATGAAACTTTGGACCTATAACCTCGCACAATTATGCAAATCGTACGTTCAATTCAACGATTTATTGTTCAAAATTCAAACCACTTTACCTTATTGCCATACACCTCTTATTAATCTCTTGAAAATATAGACGACGAGAAATCAACACATCTATGTTTCGGCCAAGACAATTTTCTTGCATCCATCGAATTTATCAGCTTGAAATATTCTCCACAGAACACCAGAAAGCATCCCTTATCGTAACAAATAACGATATAACCCTTTCGAAATCTTTATTTCGAAAATAGTTCAACAAATATACTAAGATTAAGCGAAATAATTCGCTTGTAAAATTGTACAGAGCTGCAACAGAGCTACCAAGTGCACAATACTTCCAAATTGAAGATTAGAAGGCCAATCAGAGGAGATGTTCTTTAACTCTTTTGCGCAAATTGTCCAATCAGAAGCTGCTATCTATTTGCAGGATTAGTCAAAATAGTCAAAATTGCGCAATCGTTAGTCAAAATAGGTTTGACCAATCAACATGCCTGTAATGTGTAATCTGAACACATTTGACCAATCAAATCACACGAACTAAAATGCAGAATAGTCAATTTTCATTTCAATACCGCTTATTTGACTTATCGTTTGACTAATCAATCGCTGGCTCAATGTGCAAAAACTGATCGAAGTTTATATGCTGGAGTGTGATGTAGTTTTGATTGCATGATCAGAAATGAAGAGAAGCGTTTGCGCTGGGAAAAAATTCAAAAACCTTAGTCCAAATTTTTTTATATGCCTTTTTTTTACGTTAGTCGCGTGACTAATCTGACTACCCCTAGATCCGCCCCTGGTTTCATCCCTATCATGAACGAAAGCTTGTTTACAGAATCTAATCACTCTTTAATAACCAATGAGGTCAATTCCACGTTTTTAATCCATTCAGATATAATTAAATTCTCAGATGGTAGTTTTTCTAATACTTCTAAACGCTTTTCTGTTATACTGGTAACATTCCCTGATATGACCACGAATTCTACGCAATGAATCAATTATTGAGCCTTCGCTCAAAACGTCGAAGTTCTCCTTGTATTTTTCAGGTAGTTGTATTCCTATCAACCCAGGTTTTGTTATTATTGCCACAACCTACACTGGCAAAGACTGTTCAAAATAATATATGCACCCTTGCACGTCCCTAACATACTTACTTTGTGAAATGATAAATGTTTGGAGCAATGGTATTGTTTTTTATGAATCTAGAACTATGAATTGAATTTTTGGTGGCTGTTTTTGCATTATTAATATGGCATTGCTTCTGTATAGTTTTCCTTGGTTGTGTGGAGCGTATGGGCTGGTTGGTCGAAACAAAAAGATCCCTCGTCCACATTTGTACCTCACAGTTCAAAGAGGAGTGAAGATATCGTTTGTACGACGTGAACTTGAAGAGAAATTCAAGTGTGACGACGCTAAGGAACACTTTGAACTCCTTCGAGAACCTGAAAGAAAACCAAAAATTATATATTTGGGTCTCCTTTCAAGTAAATTGAGATGTAAATCATCTTCTGTCTCACCGACACCTGGTGGTGTTGTATTAGCTTGCAGTAACCTCAGTTATACCAATAAAAACCCTTTACGACTCCCTGAAGAAAACGAGAAAGTTGATGTACCTCAGGTCCAGGGAACTGGGACTTTAACCATGTTTTGCGCCCTCAATGGACAACATTATGCACTCACCTGCTTTCATGTTGGTTGCGCAACTGATGAAAACCGTTTAAACTCCGCATTCAATAAAGTAGAAGATGTTCAGAAGATGCGCAATTCACTTCCAGCTTATGAAAGTTATGCAAAGAAACAGCAATATTATTTTACACAAGGCAATACAGAGGACGACAATGAGGCCATCTTATTTGGAGACGATGGAACGGACTGCACGCGTCTTGGTGGTTTTGACAATTATCATTTTGACAACGAATATGACATTTTGTCTCTAAAAGTTTTCGTTTTGATAGTTATTTTACTGTATAGGCTATATTTGGCACCTGGAGTAATTGTTAGGAAAATGTCTTTTCGGACTGCTTTGAGGCGCGTTTGTTGGTTCGTGTGCAATAAAACTTTAAGATGATTTCTTTGTTCGAATTCATTTGGAAAAGAAGAAATTTTAAAATAGCTAATTTTAATTTTTACTTCTGAGTGATTGAAATGAGTGAGTTGACGCCATATCGAATGTCATGTTGAATGTCATGTGACTCGTGTCAGAACTTTTCCCAGTCGTTTGGTCGGTTTGGAAAACAAGATTTTATGCCGAAGTGAAAGCAGAATATCAAGGTGTCTAAAACAAAAGGGTAAGAGTTTTATTATGTTATAAAGTCCACTAGGGTCTGTTCTTTCATATCGTCCAGTTAAAACCTTCCAAATAGTGCCGAATGAGGGTAACTTTTTCCATTGATCGCACAACAACGTTTGGATGTGTTCAAAGGATGATGGATGTGTCCTTACAACGTTTGGATGTGTCCTTTGATGTCTTCCACATTGACAGTTTAATTGACTTCCGAAATGCTTACTTATTTCCTACTACACACTGCAAAGTTCTCTAAAATCCAATGAAAAAATATTAGATAGTATTGTAGCTGTTGGTATATTCGAATAAACGCAATTTCAATGATTGGGAAAATTTTAAACAAATATATAATTTTAAAATTAAAGGGGAAGTCAAGTCCGTAATGTAAACAAATCGTTTGTTTACATTTTGAACTGCTCTATTTTTTAAAATATGATGTACTGTCTGAATATCTAACACCATTTTGGTTCGCTATGCTTCTAAATGAATATGAAATAGAGTTTATGTTCAGAAAAATTCGAAACATTCGAAATTTGGGCAATGTTCACATTATGCACCTATCAATGTTAACCCCGAGGGGGCGGGGGGCGGGCAAAGGGTGGGGATTTGATCAATCAGGTGGTCCCATGGGTCGGGATTTGGACTGACACTTTTTTTCTAAGTGGCCCGAGGGTGGGGATTTTTGACAGATTAACACTGATCTCAGACGATATACTGAAGAAACCTGAGCCAATTTTAGAACAAACTCTGACTCGTCCCCAGTCGCCCGTGTTGTAGCTGTCAACGCCTAACCCGCGAACGGGCATATCCTCCCGCACTAAAAGGTAACGAGGGACTGTGGAAGAGTCAGGAACAAACTGAAGACTGGGCACTAGTTTATCGCTCGCTGTCTCGCACGTTGTTTTTACAAGAAATATGGAAATTTCTGGACAAGAAATAAACACTTAAAAGCCATTTTATAATTATATTAATATCGATTTATACTTGTATATTAAAAGTTCACGTTATGTACTATTTAAAACACGAGTAGGAGTGTGTTTTATCAGATATAAAACGTGAGGCGCACAACTTAAAATACGAGTACAAAAGAATACTAATTAGGGCGAACAATTATATTAGAATACTGACAATATAATTATATAAGAATACTGTGTTTTATTAGCCTGTGTTCCAGTCCACTACACCATGGTGTGGCTCAAGGTATATAAATTATTAATGAGTATTTTAAGTTATTTTGAAACGTTCTTTATGTTTGTTATACTTTTAAATTATACCGCCAAATGTATTTGTGTAATTTTCCTATCACCTCACATATAGAGTGCACCAGAAACCAAATACTTCAGTAATACAATTTCATCCCGGGGTGGGGAATTTTGCCCAGGAATTTTCTCCCGAGGGAGTGGCATTTGACATTTTTTTTTGTAAAAATGTCAAATCCCCACCCCTTGCCCGACCCCCCCTCCCTCGGGATTAACATTGATAGGTGCATTAGAGGTCCTCTCATTGTTATGAGCAGAACCGATGCGCAGAACGGACTTGACTTCCCCTTTAAACGAGACTTACCTGTAAGTTGAAGTTTGATTTTAATTCTATAACGTCATCAGTCAGGAACGAAGGAGTAACATGAGAAGCACACGCTCGCTTTCCTAGCCATATTTTAAAGTACCCAACTTGCTGATTCTCGCACGGGAACAAAGGAGTATCGGGAGGGAAAACTCTCCACAAGGGAGGGCATGTTACTCCTTCGTTCCTGACTGATGACGTTATAGAATTCAAATCAAACTTCAACTTACAGGTAAGTCTCGTTTAATTTTAAAATTCTATACGTCATCAGTCTACGTCACTACGGAGTACCATGAGATTTTAAAGCTGTGCAGGTCAGCAAGTTGCAAGAAGTGAAGGTGGCAATAATTATATCAATGTTTGATACACAAAATTTTCCTCTTTTTATTTACATAGCTATATAGAATATATATGTCATTCTCGACTGTTGTCTGAGTTATTAAAGTGATTAAGTAGACTGTTTCCAAAATTAGAACCAATTGGTTTATTATAATGTTTGGCAAATGTTCCGGCATTCGTCCAACCACCAGCTTTGAGGACGTCGTTAAGCGGCAAACCAGATAAAAATCCGTAAGACGAAGACGCCGTTCTGCTGCTATGAGCTGAAAAATGTTTTATGTCAATGCCTGAATCTTGGAGGAAACTTTTGACCCATCTACCAATTGTGGAATTTGTCACCGGTTTAAACGGTTTGACGTAACTTAGTAGCAATTTAGATTGAGATCTCATAGGCTTAGTTTTACCAATATAGAATTTGATATGTGCGACAGGGCAGAGACGGATGTCTTCAGGGTAGCTTAAAAACTTGATAGGCGGGAGATGTTTTCCCGCCTTTGTGGTTTTTAGTTTCTCGCGTATTGTAAATATAATTTCATTATCAATTTCTTGCATGAAATCTAGGTCTAAACTAGGTAAAGTTTGGCAACGCTGTGCAGTTAAAAGAGCCAATAACGTTGTTAATTTTTTTGTCAACATTGATAGAGGTAGCTCTTCCATTGTGGCCATTGACTGCATGTGTTTAAGGACTGTGCCCACGTCTCACACTACCGAGTATCGAGGAAGGGATGGCTTAAGTTTGAATACACCTTTGAGAAACCGGGTCACCAAAGGGTGTTCGCCAAACTTACGCTGGCTATCCAGCGTTATCACAGCAGACAGTGCAGACCGCGCTGTGTTAATGGCACTATAGCCTAGACCTTGTTTGTACAAAAATGTAAGAAATTCGAGCCCATGCTGAATGCTGGCTCGCTCGATATTTATGCCATTATCTTGGCAAAAGCTAATCCATTTTAAAAGATAACACCGATATTGTTTCCCGGTTGCTTGGCACCATGACGACATTATAATTTGAATGGTTCCATCCGATAACCCTCGTGCAATTAGCTCTTGCCGGATAAGTGGCAGACTAGAAGCACCAGCGATTTGTGTAGGGGGTGCAACCCCCGAGGTTGGCCTGGCAATTTCAGCACATTTGGCACATTTGCATGGCCTTGGCGTACCAGGATTGTGTTGGCCAGTCTAGCACTACCACTATCCCCGTCGCTCCTTCCTCCTGGATTTTTTGTAGTAATGTTGCTATGACACTAAATGGAGGAAAAGCTAGGTTTAATGTGAACGCATCAACCGCGATTGCACCTGGGTCAGGTCTGTATGACACATAGGCGGGAAATTGAGCATTAAGGCGTGACGCAAAAATGTCAATATTTGGTTGAAATCCAAATTGTGTCAATACCCCCTGAAGGATTGAGTTGTCAATCATCCATTCAGTGTGAGTTTTAGTACTGCGTAATTCAGAATCGGCTATAGTATTGTCAACTCCCGGGATATGAGCAGCAGTCAGCCAAATATTTTGGCCGATACACCATTCCCAGATACGTTTACCGAGGGAGTTGCAATTTGGGGAATGACTTGTACCCATATGGTTAATTACGGCGATAGCGGTCGTGTTATCAAGATAGACACGAATATGGGTATTGTTTAAGGATTTACAATAAGTCTGTAACCCTAGGAACAACGCTAGTAACTCAAGATAGTTAATATGGCACAATTTTTCGACATCCGACCAAAACCCCCCGTGTGATTACCCTCGTAGACCGCTCCCCAACCAGTGAGGGAAGCATCTGTTGTGAGCACATGGGACGGTTGGTCTCGTGAGATAACATTTGTTGACTCAACAATATTGTGGACCCACCACTGAAGTTCAAGTTTTGAATCTGCAGATAAGGTCATGTGTGTGCGTCAAAGTTCCCTTTACACAATTTGAGGGCTTCAGTTTTGTTAAGTTCTAGGGCTCTATAATATAAAGGCCCATGTGCCACCCCCGGGAATGATGAAATGATTTTACCAATAACTTGCGCAACCTCTCGAATTGTAGGCGTATGTTTCGATAATAAAGACACGCATAGGTGTTGTAAAGCCAATTTTTTCTCAGGTGTGAGGGTGATAGTCATGTCGATAGAGTTAATTATGAAACCTAATAAAATCAGTTCCTGTGACGGTATAAAGACAGATTTTTCCGGGTGGATTATGAAACCCAGGTCGTCGAATTGTAAAAAAGTGTCAATCACATTACTGACACATTGTTCAAATGTTTTACCCTGAAGGAAAAGATCGTCAATATAGCTAGCAATGATATGGCCCAATTTGTGGAGGACAGTCAAAGGAGGTTTCAATAATTTGGTAAATGTCCGTGGGCAACTTGAGAGCCCGTTTGGCAAACATGTAAACTGATATAGAACCCCTTGCCAAACAAAACGAAGGTATTTACGATCAGAGTGATTGACAGATACTGAATAGTATGCGTCTTTAAGGTCGAACGACGCCATGAAGCAACCTCGTTCTATCAGTTTTAGTATAGAATGTAACGTGTCCATCTTAAAATGATGATAAGAGACAAACTGATTTAGACCTTTAAGATTTAGTATTAGCCTGTGGCTGCCATCGTTTTTCGGTCGTATAAAAATATTGAACACAACCTCCACTGAAGTGTGGGTGGCAACCTCAACAATACCTTTAGCTAGCATTTTTGCAATTTCCTGATCTATAATATCAGATTCCCTGATCGAAAAAGGAATTTTAGGAGACGCCTTAGTTATTGGCGGAGTATCAAATTCGATGATGGTGCCAGTCACAGTGCTCAAAATTTCTGGGTCAGAAGTTAGATTTTGCCAGGCTGACAGAGAGTTTCTAACATTGCCAGCCTTAAAACTGTCGCATCGAAATTTTAAGTAGTTCGTTAAATTTTCAATAGCAAGGGGAAATTTACTTACCGATAATTTAATCTTTTCAAGAGTGCTCAAGATTTCCTGCCGGGTTTGGCTTTGAACATCGGTTTTTTCTGGCCCTTCCCCCAAAAATGAGGCTTGTTGTCCGACCGATATTCAGATTGGTTGCCTCTCGGTTGACGAGAATTGGCGAAACGATTATCGTAGCGATATGTGGAGCGATTGTTCCGAGGTTGCCGGTTTCGGCTAACGCCAAGGGATTCAGTGGCTTATATTGCTCGTTTCTTTGGCGTCTCTCACTTGTTTGGCCAAATCATCGCCAAAGAATGTGGGACATTCGCCCGAATGTGGGACAGGGTCATCAGCCCGATTACACAGACTGTAATAAACAGGATTTAGGGTCGGCTTTATGTTGTCCCTTCGTATACGGGACAAAGCACCTACCGCGTGCCCCATAAGGGCCAAAGCATCTATTGTATGCGAAAGCGCGGTTTTCCTGTCTGTAGGCGTTGTCAGTAAACTATCGCATGCCTTCAACATGCCAAAAGTACCTTGTTGCATAACTTGTTGGATGTTACTCAACTGTATGTCTGCGCTCTTTTTGGAGTTGTTCATGCTGCTCCAGATTTCAGGGTTTACCCTGGGTAGCGTCCAGGGGTGGAAAAATTTTTTTTCTTACTGGGAACCTGGGTCAAAGGCTAGAAATTTTCTGTAAAATTTGTGATGTTACAATTACAAAAATAACAAAACAAATGCATAGATTACATTGATGTCGAAGGAACTAAACCCAGTTCCGAAATATTACATACTCGAACCGACCTGACCGCATAGCTCAGCTGGCAGAGCATTGGGCTAGTATTCCAAAGGTCGTAGGTTCGATTCCCACCGTGGCCAGGCATATTTTTCAAGCTTGCCCGGTGTGGATACACACTCAGAATAACATCACAAACATCATAGTAAGGATCTAACACTTAAGTAAGTGTCCTATCATCTTATTTATTCCATCACCTTTATTTGTTTACCATTTAATTTGCATTTTATTGGAGACTTTGCAGAGCATATATTTACCATTTTACCAGTCATTGTGATGGCAGGGGTGGGTAAAAGAATTAATTTCTGTCAAATATTTAAAAGCTGCTGATGTTAGCGTGTACAGTGTAAATAAAGTAGAATCGTTGTAACTTGTAAGTTGAGTAAACAGAGTTATCTCAAAATGTTGAAATATTTTCTGGAAAATTTTCTGCAAAACTCTCAACTCGGTTCCGATACTTTTTCCACCCCTGGTACCGTCAGTTCGGCGCAGTTTTCTGGCTTGGCATGTTTTGCCAATAATGTCTTAAGCTTATCATTAGCAATCGGTTTACCCCATCGTTTGATGGCGATATCTGCCAGATTTTGTACGACCTTAGGTCCAGTTTGTTCGTCCTCGTTGAGGGCATTATTAAGTGAGTCTAAAAACTTGATTTCTGCTGGGTCAAAGGAGGCAGGAGTATCATTGACGGTATTATTGTCACCATTGTTGCTTTGCCCTGCATTACCGTCCGTGTTCTCGCCGGTGGCGACGGACCCGTTTAGAAAATCATGAATGTCGTTATCGGACGGCGCAATACTTAAAGCGTCGTCATCAACGCGAAGCCGTTTAGGCGGGAAATCCATCGTGTCATCCTCCGATGGCTCGGACTCCGATGAAGCCCTCCGATGTTTATGTTTCTTAGATTTTGTGGTACGGGAAGACATACCCTTGTTGCTGACAAAACTATGTAAAGCGGCAGCCAAACTGCTAATGCCCTCCTTGATCACGGCCAACGTTTGGCCAATGTTCTCGTCAGGTTGAGGGTCGCGGTCGGGTCGACCATCAATGGGATCATATTGGTCCCTTGCATGCCGAGTATCGGTCATATCTTGCGAATGAGCGTGGTCAGGTTGACCGCCGTCTTGGCCTGTTAGGCCGCTAGTATGATCAGGTTGACCTAGACTCATAGGGCTTTCAGAAGTTGGCGTACCACTGTTGAAACTCATTATAATATTTTACGTAACACGAAAAATTAGAATGCTAAATAAAGCCTGAAAAAGACTAACTGATAAACAATTATCAAAACTAGTCTACGTTACTCACGTAACCAAGCGATATAAGTCTTGCTAGAAGAATAGAGACTTGGAAGTTGCTGTTTAACAAATCCTCAACAATGAAGAATTTCCTGATGTTGCGGCTAAGAAAGCGTGTGTACAATGGCTAGGAAAGCGAGCGCGTGCTTCTCATGGTACTCCGTAGTGACGTAGACTGATGACGTATAGAATTAACCCATTAAGCGCTCCCCCCTTGACCAATAAACTCGCCTGGCATTGGACAGAGTAAAATAATAAAGTAGGACTCAATACGACTTAATGCAAGCTCATACCCAGGGACAAGGTTGTGACTTTTAGAAAACTAATGGAATGGAACAGAAGACAGTGATAAGACTGTTCTGAAGTGTTCTGACTACCCCGATTTTCGAGTAAGGGCAGCCATAACAGAACATGTGACACTGCCCATTTTCACGTGATTTTCGATTAACTGAACACACTTTTGTGCAAGGTTTAATTAAAAATTGACGGGCATTGTATATATATATAATTTGGGTGTCTGAAGTTCAAATTTTGCACGTCAATAAAATTTGGCTTTTGAATTTTCCAGCTGGAGGTAACGTTCCAGTTATATTCCAATTTCAATGATTCATAAATGTGTGATTACTGGTGCTCCACAACATTTTGAAACTATGTTTGTGATGTTACTCTGAGTGCATATCCACACCGGGCGAGCTTGAAAAATATGCCCGGCCACGGTGGGATTCGAACCTACGACCTTTGGAATACTAGCCCAATGCTCTTCCAACTGAGCTACGCGGTCAGGACGGTTCGAGTAAGTGATATTTCGGAACAATATCTAGTTCCTTCAGGTTCGAATCCCACCGTGGCCGGACATATTTTTCAAGCTCGCCCGGTGTGGATATGCACTCAGAGTAACATCACAAACATATTATTCACCTGAGTACACAACACCAGCACAGAAAAAAATTCATATTACAAGAACACCTTGGTATTGAAGGAACTAGATACTGTTCCGAAATATCACTTACTCGAACCGTCCTCACCGCGTAGGTCAGTTGGAAGAGCATTGGGCTAGTATTCCAAAGGTCGTAGGTTTGAATCCCACCGTGGCCGGGCATATTTTTCAAGCTCGCCCGGTGTGGATATGCACTCAGAGTGACATCACAAACATATTATTCACCTGAGTACACAACACCAGCACAGAAAAAAAATTCATATTACAAGAACACATTGGTATTGAAGGAACTAGATACTGTTCCGAAATATCACTTACTCGAACCGTCCTGACCGTGTAGCTCAGTTGGAAGAGCATTGGGCTAGTATTCCAAAGGTCGTAGGTTCGAATCCCACCGTGGCCGGGCATATTTTTCAAGCTCGCCCGGTGTGGATATGCACTCAGAGTAACATCACAAACATATTATTCACCTGAGTACACAACACCAGCACAGAAAAATTCATATTACTAGAACACATTGCTATTGAAGGAACTAGATACTGTTCCGAAATATCACTTACTCGAACCGTCCTGACCGCGTAGCTCAGTTGGAAGAGCATTGGGCTAGTATTCCAAAGGTCGTAGGTTCGAATCCCACCGTGGCCGGGCATATTTTTCAAGCTCGCCCGGTGTGGATATGCACTCAGAGTAACATCACAAACATATTATTCACCTGAGTACACAACACCAGCACAGAAAAAATTTTGAAACTATTTACATGCACATGCTTCAAAAACTCATTAATAATTCATGAGGAAAACACAAAGAAAAATCATAAGCGTGTCATATCTTTATATGTGATAGAGATTTCCCTTGATTTACTTAAACTTTAACTTTGACTTTCTCGACTTACACAACATACTTTTTGAAAATTACTTTGCCAATGAACTTACTAGATCGATTGTTTTTGAAGCAATTTTATATTAAAACATTTGCAGTGCGTGTTTCATCAGACCTAAACTAGATACTCAGCTTTGCCTCGTATCTTTATATCTGATAAAACACTGCTCACAATTCTTGGGTTTCATATGACGTTACAGAAGTGACGGGGGGTCAAGTCGAAAACAAAACACAGTTATCAGAGTGAGTCGATTATTTGTTTTATGTATTTGCTTTGTGTTTGGTGGCAAATACGTGGAATTTCGTATCATTTTCTCACTCCAGTACAGCATAAGCATCAATACATGTGAGGTTGATCCCCCATCAGATTCACTGCATAATGCCTTAGTGAAACCCAAGAATAGTTGTGAAACATATTCATAGAAAAGTGGTGGTTATCCGCCCACACGATAAATCCTGGATGAACAGTAAGGTCAGAAAGGCTATTAGGAAGCGAAACAGACTGTTAAAAAATCATTCTAGATTAAAAACGTCAGTAACTTGGGAAAAATATAGAGTACAAAGAAATTATACCACAACATTAATAAGATCAAATAAAGCGCTTTACTATGCAAATTTAAATAATAAGCTTCAGGAACCCGAGGTGAGCTCAAAAAAATGGTGGGGGATTGTTAAATCTTTATATGGGCAAAAAATGCGCGAAACGGTCCCAACACTCATGGAAGGTCCAAACATAATTAGCGAAGCTAAAGAGAAAGCTGAAGTATTGAATGATTATTTTTGCAATCAGAGTACCATTGACGATGGTGCTGCGACTATTCCTAATGATATTATATCTTTCCAGTCTTCTGTCATTTTGTCAAACGTGATTGCTACCGAATATGAAATAAATTGCCTCTTACGTGGAGTAAATATTAGTAAAGCATGTGGTCCAGACGGTATAAGCAATAGAATTATCAAGATTTGCGCAGACGGAATAACCAGCGCCTTTACGTATATAGTTAACCTTTCACTGTCGTCAGGTGTTTTTCCTGAGCAGTGGAAAGCAGCAAATGTTATTCCATTATTTAAAACTAAAGTAGATCGTGAGTCAAAGTTGAATTATAGGCCGATTTCATTGTTAGATTCATTATCTAAAATAATTGAAAGAGTCGTTTTTACAAGACTTTACAATTTTTTGTTGGATATAAAATTCTTAAACCCATTGCAATCAGGCTATCGGCCAGGTGATTCGACAGTAAATCAACTAGTATATTTAGTACATAAGATCCACGAGGCATTTGAGCAAGGCAAAGAAGTAAGAATGGTTTTCATTGACATCAGTAAAGCGTTTGACAGAGTTTGGCACAAGGGTCTTTTACACAAGCTTCAATTAATTGGTGTTGAGGACCCTTTATTAAGTTGGTTTGAAAGTTATTTATCTAATCGGAAACAACGAGTGGTCATAGATGGTCAGTATTCACAGTGGAAAAATATAAACGCAGGTGTGCCTCAGGGGTCCGTACTTGGTCCGTTGCTTTTTTTGATTTATATAAACGATATCACTGAAAACCTTGAATCCCATTCTTTATTATATGCTGACGACACTTCTTTGTATGATGTTTTTGACAATCCAGATACGTCTTCAACAAAATTAAATAACGATCTTATAGAAATAGAAAAATGGGCAAAACGATGGCTTGCTACTATAAATATAAAG